GCCAAATACATCATTTCAGTGAAATTCAATAAAATTACTTGGAATTTAGGAATTATGATCATTTTTGCTTACCCTCACCACCCCATTCTCTGACCGGACTGCAGTGATGGTGAYGTTGTCAACATGTATGGTGATGGAGCCGATAGAGAAAACTTTGGAATTTTCCTTTTCCTCTTTTTTGACCACAACAGAGAAGGCAGGAAAGGTGGGATCGGGATTGCAGATTGTGGTCAAGGTGTAGGCACACGTTCCCATGAAGTCAAAGGTTTTTCCATCAAAACTCCGGTAGTGTGGCCCACCAGCGAGCCAACAGGTGGAGAAAGTCTCCTTGATGCACTCTGGTTGTCCATCCACCATCTCACACCCCTCGTTGCACACCAGATTGTCACAGGAGAGCGGTGTGGGTGCTGAAATAAAAGGGGAAAACCCATGAATGGTCAACCAGACAATACCCAATACCCAACCATTGGGGTGACACAACAGTGGACTGACTGTACTCACTGGCGGCACAGAGCCCAGGGAAGCCGTATCCAGTGTGACTCTGGACCCCAAACACCAGGACCCCGATGGGGACCTGCGAGTTCTCAGCACTCCGCATCACTGCGTGCACGGTGAGGCTGGCCCAGGAGAAATCTGTGCCAGGAATGGCCTGCCACACCATGGTGTTGTCCAACTGATGGTTGAGGGTGGTGGTGGCAGTGGCAGTGGTAGGTGCAATGAGGACGGCATGGTTATACTGGCCAGGCACGCTGCTGAAGCGGAATGCAGTGCAGTGGGCAGTGATAGGTGGGACAACAAGGAGGAAGGGATCTTGCCAAGATGACCCAGTGAAGAAAAACACCACCTGCACTGCCACCACTGCACTGATGTACAGGTGCGAGTTACGGTTCACCACGAATGTCCGCACCTCCCCTGCCGCCATGGCCACGGTGGCATTCCCACTCCTGGTGTCATAGGCRATGGTGTTRTCCTCATCTGTCACCACATAGATGAAGTCAACATCTGTCTGCAGTGGGTTGGGTGGCACCACGTAGCTCCTCCCCCACGCTGTCATTGGGAGGAGCTGCTCCACCACAAAGTCAAAACCAGCAGACACCTTGACACAGGTGTGGCCACTGAGGACAGCCACCGGGGTGTTGGTCACCACGGCTGTGCCAGTGAAGTCCTGGCTGCTCTGGAGCTGCAAGCTGTGGTAGGGCTGCAAGAACAGGCGGAGCACGGCGCCGGGGACATAAGTGGCCCCAGCATAGTGGAAAGTGGCAGTGGTGGTGATGCTGACAGCCGTGGTGGCAGCGCCAGTGGCCACCACAAACTCGGCCAGGCCATAAGTGTAGTTCCCAACAGGTGTCACCACGTAGTACCTGGTGCCCAGGCT